GTGCTCCATGTTTGGATAAGCATCTCTGCTGTGAAGTGAGTAGATCCCTTTTAGCTTTTCCGTTTCGCCACACCCTGGTTCATGGCTCCCATCAGTGGATGCAGGGCGATGAACTTATACTGTTCCGGTGATCGGGTTGTTCCGGTGATCGGGTTGTCCTCAGCAGTGATCGGGTCAGTCGTGTTTGGATGTTGGTTTGTTAATTGTAACAAATGTGAGTCAATAAAGTTATTCTCCACTCGACTTTGCTTGGCTAAAATTAAAAAAACGTTGGTTACGTTAACAGAAAACATTCGCTGTGCAGCAAATGTTTTCTGTTGACATTATTTTAAGTTTAATAGACAGAGTAGCATTTGGAGAAAGTACTTTTAGAGAGTTGTTTAATTTAAATGGAGGTGTTGATGAAATACAATAATTATAAAAGAACCTTCTCTAAAAAATAAACATTAAAATTTATCACAAGTAATCAGGTTGGAGGTATTCCACTTTACCTCCTGGAACGAGTTTATATACAAAATATATAATTGGTTTAATTCGGTAATATACAATGACACACATTTCAGTTTTGTCCCAGTAAAAAAAAAATTTGGGGGGGCGGCAGTTTTTATATTTGACATTGAGTCACTAACTTTGGAACAAACTCTAGATTGAAGTTGATTTGCACAATAAAATTTGGAAGATGTTTTCTTGTCAAAGAATACTTTGACTCTTATAAATATTTGTACGGCTCCAGGGCCATTTCACCAACTACCCGCACTGTATGATTTGCCATTTCTTCTCAGCCTACTTAAACATGTCACCCCTTGAAGTGCTTAACCCTTTATTGATTTATTTGTTCTAAGTTTCCGTCCCGTTTCCTTCGCGGATTCTTGGTGCAGCGCCACCACAGGCTTGGAGGTGAACAGCGAACCATAACAGCTGGATATGTAACAAGTGTTGCAATTTCGGTTCCCAATCAAACCGAGTCTACTGGACTAATGGGTGTGACAATGCCCTAAAAAGTCGGGTAGTTAAAAAGGAGAAATGAGCCGTTTACTTTCTGATCTGTATCATGTAAACTGCATTAGTACTTTCACTATTTCCTTTTGATGATTGTTGATCATGTTTGCACCGAGTTGACATGGCTTCATTGTGGTGTTTGCCTCCACTCTGGCCTCATTGAAGGCCCCTCGGAGCTTGGTTTGGTGACCTCTGTTCCTCCCGTTCCGTGCACGTAAACACCAGTTGGCCTCTGAAGTTGTGCTTGTGGAATGTAAACAAACAACATGAGGAGCAAGGTCAGCCGCTTAATGAGGGCCGCAGTGGAACGCGGAAGAGTAAGAGGCTGAAAGAATGGGAGCGCAAGTGGACATAAAGTTCAGGGGTGGAGATGGAGAGGGAATAATATCCAGCGGAGAGCAAAGGTGTCAAGTTGAGACGGAGGATTGGTCTGAACCGTCTAAGAAAATGAACATCTATAGTGACGCTGATGTTTTAAATGTACCTTCCTCTATATTTTGTACCTTTATCGAGGTTTTCTCCTACCTGAATGAGGATTTGATCTTAAGATGTGTCTCTTCTGTGTGCTTCAGCTTGTTAGGTCTCATGACCAGATCAAATGAAAGGCAAACTGGAATTAAGCAGCACTTCATACCAGGTTGGCATATCCACACAATAGCATTATGTCATGTATTTTCTGTGAATAAATTAAGAACACACATATTTTGTGTGCATTTCTATTTGTTTTTCACTGTGAAGATGTGAAAGGTGATCATAAAAAAATCCCAGCAACCATAGAAAATGGTAATATATGTCATATAGTAGTCAGTGTTATTGATTCATCAAATGTTTGTTTTATATTAATCAAATGTTTGTAATTGTATGAGAACTCCAATGTGAAAAATAGATCAATTAAATATCTAAACTTTCTTTCTCATAATTTTAAGATAATCTGTTAATATTATTGTAATTAAACAAAACTTTTCATAACCTGGTGCAAATACTCTATCGTACAACTCGGGGAAGAGATAATTGAAATGAAAGCTGCTTTTTGAAAATTTAAGAAAAAGCGAGAAAAATAAATATGGTAAGGAAAAAAAGCTTTTATTAATAATTAATAAGATTCTGGTAAAACCCCCAGCTGGTGCAGATAGGTGTGCTTTAAAGATGAGCTTTCCCTTTACATGCAGTGAAAGGCTGTGTCCGCCAAATCACACCTTCCCTTTCTCCCTCCCTCTGACTTCTTCTCCCTCTTCTTCTGTCTCTCTCTCTCTGTCTCTCACCTTAAGTCGGCCCACACACAGCCCTTACACATCTGAATCCACACTTGACCCATCTCTATCCTTGCAGCGTGAGCCCAGCAGTTGGGAGTGGGAGGGGTGACATAGCGGAGGATAAGCCAACCTTCCTCACGTTCTGCACGTAGCACAACCATTAAAATACTGCTCCCTCTGGAGGGTGGCCAGGAGTCAAAGTTTACAGCAGTTCATTCCTCCCTGTGAGCTGCAGACCCACCCCTCTACTTTCACTGTCTGTGCCCCTCTTTTTCTTTCTCTGCCCTTCTCTTTTACTCACAAAAACAACAAAAAAAGAAAGCCTAGCCTTCTACACACAGGAAGCCCTTTTGTTAGCTGTGCGTGCGCCTCAATCAGAAGTAGTTTCTTCCAAGAACCTCCTCTGCCCTCCCCTCCTCTCTTCTTTTTTTTTAATGTTGTAGCAGCCAGACTTGGCATTGCCACCCTCTCTCCTCCCCTTTATGTTGTAGTTTTGTTGTTTTCTAGCTTTGAAGGCACTGATATCGTGCATTCCAGCGGTAACCTGCATCTCCAAAGATGTTAGCACAATGCCGACTGACGCAAGCAGCTCCGATCAGATGCGCAGCGAAATAAGATGGAGACGTGCGCGAGTGTGATGTGAATGACTTTGCTTGTTCTCATTGGAGGACTGCTTTAAATCCAACTCGTTCTTTCATTTTCTGCACACATTTTGCTTTTGCTTTCAATTGGTTATACACCAATAATATCTTTTTTTTTATTATAGAAGAAACGGTGATGAGATTTACTCTGTTTATAATAATGTTGCTATGGTTTATGTTGATGCAAGGTCTTGAAAGAATGTGGCCCGACTTGTCTTTTGCCCGCTGTATCACTGTTGATGCTGCAGTGCATGAGGGCTGATCTGTTTGTGTTGGTGCACGTTTACCAGTCACCCCAGATCCACTTTCAACACAGACACTGTTACTGTATTTAGCCAGTCACTTCCTACTGCTGTCAGTGCAAACAGCAGTTTTAGCTTTTCTAAATCATTCACATTTTTGCTCCTTTAGTAGTTTTTATTTTATTTTTTTTATTTTTTAGTTTTTTGTTAATGAGATGCCAGAAAAAGTTGCAGAGCAGGTGTTGGGTCTTTCCAGTTGCTGGCAGAAAGAAAGTCTTCCTTTGCTTAAATCCATTTCGCTTCATGTCAGTTTTAAACACTTAATTATTTTTAGCATTTTCCTGGTCATTGCACCTTTAAAAGTTGTTCTTGTGTGACTTGATGTCAGACTGTATGCCTGTCACAATACTACATTTTGCTGGACATTAAATTGTCCCAAAAATTATTGAAATAATTAATACAATTGGCATTTTGAGACTATTTTTAATGAAAGTCTTTCTTTGCTGAAAACCATTTCTCTTCATTTTAGTTTTAACAACTATAATTACTTTTAGAGTTGCCTACTTGTTGCATTTTTTAAAATTGTTTGTATGTGGATATATATGTCTGTAGTCCTGTTACGATACCAAATTTTCCTGGACGGCCAATTGTCCCATAAATTATTGCGATAAACAATAATATTGTCGTTTTCAAATAATATGATGATAATAAAGCAAATACACCCTCTCAAAAACTAAAGAACATAAATTTTGCTTTGCATTTTCTCAGAAATTGAAACTAAATTGATGTTCATTTTAGTTAAATATACTTTAGAAACTAGTAAAAACCTATTTTTCTGCATCTCTTATCAACACTGTAGGAAACATTTTTAGAGAGGTTGCTTAGTGCTGTGAATGAAAGATTTAATGTGCTCAAAATGGTCAAAATTGCACATAAAACTATTGTTTCAGTTGAAGTCAGCCATTTTGGATTATGAGGTCCAGTTTATTATGGGTTATTTTTGCCCATATCAAACTTCAACATTTACATTTTTGGGTTAAAATGGAATATGAATAACTTTTCATGCTCCAACCAAGTAAATGACACCATATATATATATATATATATATATATATATATATATATATATATATATATATATATATTTTTTTATTTTTTTTTTTTTTTTTTTTTTTTTTTCAAAGCATGAAAAGCTTAAAATGTCCAAATCCTTTAGTATTATAATGTCTGTCATGACACTTTTAAAATGTCAAAAAGTATTTTAAGAACCACTGCTCACATTCTTGAGAACTTTATTCACCTTTATTTTCTACTTCATTTCCTTATGGAAGAATTTGTTTTCTTCAGCTTAAAAATGTTTAAATAACTGTACTTTATTTTCCTGTTAGTCCAGGACTGTTCAAGTTATTACTTGTGCTTTTCCATTTTCCTGCGGGGTATTCTTGTACTTCACCAGAGCCAGGATTCAGCATGCTATTTGCTCCAAGAAATATACAATTCATAGCTTTCACTGCCAACTCCAAAGCAGATCATAGAAATCTTACTACAGCAGGAAAGGGCAAAAGGAAGGCATGCAGGACGATATCCTTGGTTTATTTTCTCAAATGTTTCAAAATATTATTGTGGGGCAGTTGGGTAAATGTGACCTGTGCTTGTCTTCATCTTCAGGTGAGGAAAAACACACAAAAAAAGAGTTGATTTTCTGCTTTCATACTTTGAACATGCTGACTTGAGTTTTCTCACACTTGGATACTTTTTGCCTTGACTTTTCACTTTCATGTTCATTAATTTTGAAGTCAGGTGACTGCTGGTTTCCCTGGTGCTCTGTATGTACTAATCACATTTTTCCATCGCTCTCTCTTCAGGCAATGGTAGCCTGTTACCCTGGGAATGGAACAGGTTATGTGCGCCATGTGGATAACCCCAACGGCGATGGACGCTGTGTCACATGCATATATTACCTTAATAGAGATTGGAATGCCAAGGTATGAGAAAACGCTTCTTCAGGTTTTTAAAAAAAAATTTTTTAAGAGTTTGCAAAGTGTTTGGTTTATATACTTGTAGAATTATTTCACAATTTTGATATTCTATATTTAAAACAAGATCCAAATTTTGGATTTGAAAATCCCTAAAAAAATGGCATCTTTAATCCAAGATGGCGGATTTTCTGTGCGGTTTGCAAGCAAGAGCTTCTGAGTGCGTGGATAAAAAGAAGGGTTTTGTTTGTAATCTTCCATAGAATATTTATTTGTTTTCCCAAAATATTCACACAATCGTGTTTTAAAAGTAGATTTCTATTGTTTCCTTGAATGTTTGGTGCAGATTAAGTTAAATATGTTTTTACTTTATAAAATCACACCGTTCTAGGTTAAATTAGTTTGGCTACACTTTAATTCATGCTGTATAACCACACCAGCCATCTAAAGTAATCGTAAAATGCCTCAATCAAGTAAAGACCAGAAAATAGGACTGAAACAATGAATAATAATTAATCAATTATCCAGTTATAGAAATTTTACAATCATTTAATTGCTAATTAGAGTATATAGGATTAAAAAAATTAAAATTGCTGAATAAACCCCATTCAGAGCAGCAATTAAGTCAAAACTGTACAAAATACATAAATGTACATTTTAAATTCATGACAAAAGTACATTTCTCCACAAATAGAAAAACTGAAGTGAAATAAAGATTGGCTATGTTACTTCATTTTAGGCAATAATATGTCTATTTTATTATTTAAAAAAATGTTTGTTTGCATATTTTATTGTATTTCTAATATTTCATGAAACATTAAGTGCTTAAGTGAAAAATCTGTCGAAAGTCACAGGATTTTTTTTTTATCCGATTAATCATCTACGAAAATAACTGCAATTTGCAGCCCTATAGAGAAGCATACTACTCTTCTATTTCTTAATATTGCAACTAAAAGATGTATCAATGATGTAAGAAGGGTTTTCAGGATGTCTGAAATTGGATTTGTCCATGGGAACTTTCTTCAGATTTAGGAGATCAGAGCAAATTTATCAACGCCTAAGCAGGAGGAAGTCAAACCTAGGAATCATTGCGAATCACACAGTCACATGGTAACCAGCTCTTGATGGATGGGGCTGATCTTCCCCACTCCCACTGACATTCAGAAGGATACCAGGTGAAAGGGATTTTGCATAAACCTACCATCTGATGAAGGTACTTCAGCCACCAGCCTGCTCGTGCGTCCAGGTTGACGAGTGCTGCCATGGATACGGGCAAAAACAAAAAAACAGAAGCCAGTGATACAATCAATGTATCTACTCTTTACATAACACGAGTAAAGAGTGATATGAAAACATCCTTAAGAGGAACTTCTTCAAATGATCAAGGCTCAGTTAATTGATATGTTTATTGTGCGTGTTTTCCATCGATCAGTATCAGAAGATACTGATCGATTTGTAACAAAAATTGGGATCGACTCCAAAAATCAAATAGCACACGAATGCTTTACCATTGGTCAGGAGTTAGCCAGATTAGTGGAAAAATAATAAACACATATTCACTGATGTAATAGATTTTTTGGTTTTGGCTTAAAGAGAATTTGAAAATGTCACTTTATAATTATGGATTATTGGAAGATTAACACCTCAATACCAACAAAGTTAATGCACAGCTTCAGTTATTACAACTAAATTAGTACTTTACAACTACTTCCAGGCCCAAAACCTGGGAGTAGTGATGGACACTTGAACCTTGCGAGCCACATAAAGACAGTTACAAAGTCGACCTTCTATCACCTGAAGAACATCTCCAGGATTAGAGAACTGATGTCTCAGCCAGATCTAGAGAAACTCATCCATGCGTTTATCTTTAGTCGCATTGATTATTGTAACAGCGTCTTCACAGGCCTGTCCAACAAATCAATCACACAGCTGCTGCTGATCCAGAAGCTGCTGCTCGCGTTCTCATTAAAACCAGGAAGATAGAGACATAACACCAGTTTTAAAGTCCCTCCACTGGCTCCCTGTAGCTCAAAGAATAGATTTTAAAATACTGTTGTTAGTTTATAAATCAGTGAATGGTTTAGCACCACAATACATCAAAGATCTGCTGTTGTTGTATCAACCTTCCAGACCTCTCAGGTCTTCTGGTTCTGGTCTGCCCTGCATCCCCAGAACCAGAACCAAGAGAGGAGAAGCAGCTTTCAGCATCTATGCACCAAAAATTTGGAACAAACTTCCAGAAAACTGTAAAACAGCAGAAACCCTGACTTCCTTTAAATCGCAACTAAAAACACACCTGTTTAGAATTGTATTTGAAAGGTAATATGTAACAATGTATTGTTTATTCTATGTTGCATGACTTTGTGTTTTTGTGTTTATGATGTAAAGCACTTTGAAATGCCTTGCTGCTGAAATGTGCTATACAAATAAAATTTGATTTGATTTAAATTGAATTGAATAAAGACTTAAAAATGCAAACATTGAAAGAAAAAAAAAAAACTTAAATAAGCAGTGGCTTTACTGGTGGAGGCGCTAGTAAAACCTGGTGGCCTGCCAAAGTATTTATTCCTGGGTGTAATAGCTCACATATCTTTGTTAAATTATCAACAGTAGTTTCTAATCTGCATGACTTGCGCACACAAATCAGTTTCCTAATCTCTTAACGAGCCTGACCTTTAACCCAAAACAGCTTTTTGACTTTGGACAACAGTTTTTACTATCGCCGGTTGTATATTCAACCATTTTCTTTAGATATAAGCTCCTAATTCAACACTACTTTTATGATTAGCCTACAAGTTGTTGTGTTTCTTTTTGGGGAGGGGGGATTTGTCTGGGCTGATTTGTTTTAACCCAACTCTACCTCTTTGTTTTGACTTTGGGGTTGTGAGTTTCACAGAGTTGTCCTTCTGAATGCATCAGCTTTCTGTTTTGACCTATGCACCTTTAAACAGTAAACAAGTGATGTGGCTGGTTTTGGGTTCAAATCACTAAATGTAAAAGTAGTAAACAAATGCCTGCAAATCCCTTTCTCTTTTTTTAAATCATTTTTCTCTAAGCTGGTAAAGAAAAACTGGGTTGGCCTGTTTATCTTTTTCTGTCCATATCTGCAGAAGTTACAGCGTGGATTGTGTTAACTAAATCAGTTTGTTATATGATATCTATGGTGTTCATGCAGCTTATCCTCTGACTTCTAGATGAACTTTGCTCTAGATCACAGATGGTTACATGAATAACAGCAACTTGATTTCTCATCGGCTGCTTATTAGCCAAGGCCATGTTTGTTGAGCAGCCTGATTCTGTGCAACAAACTTGTTTTTTGTGCAATTTTATAAATTACTATTTATAAAGCACATTTAAAAACAGAAGTTTGCCAAAAGTGCTGCGCAAAAACAAGACCAATCAGGAATAGACGTAAAAAGTTAAAACGGTCCCAAGACAGTGACAAGAATTTAACTCACACTGGACCAAATGGCATTAAAAACTATGTTTTTAAAAGAAACATTTGAGAAAAACAAGCTGAGATTTAACTGACTTTTCTGTCCCACTACCAAACCCATTTTCAGCCGAAACAAAATATTTCTAATTTTTTAAATCAGTACAGAGTGTTAATTCCTCAGAATTTAATTTAAAATAATTTATACTATATTTGCCCATTCTTTTTTTTAAAAACATTGTCAAACGTCAGTCAAATTGGATTGAGAGAAACTGGGAATCTCTTACCAAAGATTCCCAGTTTTATTTAATTGTGGACTTTGACTAGGCCACTCTAACACATGGATATGCTTTAATTTAAATTATTCTAATGAAGCTCCGGCTGAATATTTCGGGTCATTGTTCTGCTGGAAGGTTGAACTTCTGCCCTCATCTCAAGTCTTTATTGGAGATGTCCAAAGGTTTTTGGTTTCACTGGATTTTCTTTAGGGGTATCAGCGTAAAAGGGTCTAAATCCAAATACTGTCCTCAGTTTCAGATGTTAACTTTATGATTTTGCAGATTATCCCAAACCAGTAGAAAATGTAGAGTTTTTTTTTGTTTGTTGTACGGAGATGTTTGTTCTGGTTCTGGACGTTTATGTTCACATTCACATGATTAACTGCCAGTAAAGCGGTGAATAAAGGCCCTGTTTTTCAGAATGAGCCCTGATTCACTGTAAACCTTGATGCGAAAGATAAACAGCTCTACTGGTTTCTGCAGTGGCAGCACGTGACTTCCTCTTGTGAAAGCTTCTCTCGGATGTCATGAGGGTGTCAGGATTTTACTTCTCTGGCAGATTTTACTGTGTTGATATCACCAAACATCTCAGCTTTTATCTGATCGTAAGTATTAGCTTAGAGAAGATAGATGTATTATTTTGAAAAGGAACCAGAAAAATATCAGCGCACATGATGCCAATTATCCTGTATGACCTTTAACCCACACATGTTATGTGCAGGTCAAACAGGTGTTAAACTTTGGTTTTCTTTAAAAAAAATTTCTGACCCTATTGAGATTCCAATGTCTCTGGTTAATTTGCTGTAGTCATACCACCGGTATTCCCCTTATTCAACGCGCTTCAAATGGAAATAACATTATATGCGCACCGAAAGGCGTGAGCGTTTTCAGCACGCAAGGTTTGCGTGTGAAGAGAGGGTCCTATCATATCAGCAAAGTGAGAATTTAAGCAGCTGGCTTGCAGCAATCTGCTTTTTCATTCTCCAGGTCCTTTATCCAGCCAGAGCAGTTTTCCTGTGGGTTATTCTTCCTATCCCTCCACAGGAAAGCTGTCCCCTGCTGCTGCTTCCTATCCTGGGCTTTTCTCCGAGCCTCGCGTTGCTCTGCCTTAAATGTTCTCGCTCCTCTTTGATCTGGTTTAGATGGCTGAGTGTCGCTTAAATATTCTCCTCCAAGCACCAGTAGGTAAAAAAAAACAACAAAAAAAAAACAAAACTGTCATCAAAGTTAGTTTTCTGTTATTTACTTCAAAAAGTGAACTCATTTCAGCCAGAGACTGATAAATTCCTGGTTTGTTAATTGTGGTTTAGAGAAAATGAAAACAAATTATCTTTCCAAAAACAAAAAAAGAAATCCTGTTTTATCTTCTTGGGGAAAAATGCTGACTGGAGAGATTTTTAACATCGTCACTGAAACCTGAGCGACAAAATGGTCATTGCAAGAAGAAGCTCAGGAAAAGTTGAGCGGAAAGAAAAACTGACAGAAAACTGTTGACAGATATGACTTACGATTGTATTAGTAATTCATTATTTATTTTTATTTCATAAGTTGATGATATACTAACAATCATTGTCACTAACAATTAATGAAATTATACTAATTATATTAATGATATTATTAATAATATTTAATATACTTAATTGATATTGTTAATATCAGTTATATTCATAATAATACTAATTATTATTAATATTTATAATAATAATAATGCGAGTAGCCGGACAAGAAAATTGTAATAGATTTCTTTTATTTAATCATTTAAGATTATATAAGATTATTCTACGCAATATCAGACATACATAAAAATTAAGCTAAACTGATCAATTTCCTTTTCAAACAAGGAAATAACCATTGTTTTGTCTAAAATGCAATAACATTCCTTTTGTGTGCACCTAATCAGTTGCAGCAAAGGATGCAACTGTATCTCTAAAAAATAAGAAAAGCTTTTTTTCTGCTTAATCCAACATCAAAACAGTGTATGGCTAAATGGATGTTTTTTTGTTCAGTTTTGCCTTTTTTTACTCCAGGTTATCTTTTAAGTCTGCAAATATTCCAGTTAATTAGTTATTTCAATAACAGATTAATCCAGTTATTTCTTTGAATGCAAAGTGTTAACTGCAGATATTTGATACATCAAAAGTTCTGTGTCCAAACTTTTTAATGGAAAGTTAAGTGGAAGGAAATAGTGTCACAGTTCGAATTGTTTTTTTGTCCAATGTGGATGTTCTGCAGTAATTTCTGATTTAGGGAGCCATGTTGGCATTTTATTCCAAACTGCATCTAATGACGATGCTCCTCTGCTCTCAGGAACACGGCGGCCTGCTGCGAATCTTCCCTGAAGGAAAGGCCCAGTTCGCTGATATAGAGCCAAAATTTGACCGGCTGCTCCTCTTCTGGTCAGACAGGCGAAACCCCCACGAGGTCCAGCCCGCTTTCTCAACAAGGTCAGCCTGAGACCCTGCACTCTGCGCTCGGTGGCTTTGCTGTGGCTCACCTCATTTTCTCCACGTCTCTCTGCAGGTATGCCATCACGGTCTGGTATTTTGACGCAGATGAGCGTGCCAGAGCTAAAGAAAAGTACTTAACAGGTAGTACTCTTTGCTTCTTGGCTCCTGTTATTTTATTGTTTTCCTGGTCTTTCCTCTAATGGCTCCTCTGTGTGCAGGTGCAGGAGAAAAGGGAGTAAAAGTCGAACTCAACAAATCATCGGATCCCAGCTAGTAGGACGACTGCAAACATCCGTTAAGTGCTCTATCCTAAGAAAGTGGCCTACAGAGATCATATGTGCAACTGAAAAATCTCAATTTACATAATAAAAGACAAAATAGGAGTACAGAAATCAAATATACTTTACACTTAATCTGGACAGTGAATGTCATAACATTGTACTGAAAGGGATTGTATGCTTTTTTTCTCCTCTTATTAACAGAGTATGCATCTACAGTGCAGCTGAGCTGACTAACAACAAGCAAAAAAAAAAGCTTTAGATCCTCATAATTTGTTGATTTCTTAAAGGTACAGTGTTTTGCTTTTCATGTTATTTTCCTCACATCAGATGGTTTCATAGGAAAGCTTAATCATCCATGTCAGTTTTCAGTGAGTTCAGGAATTATGGACATAAAAAGACAACTAATCTCTGCCAGAACTGCATTGGTTTTAAATCTGCAGCTTCAGATTTTAATGGCCTTGTGTTTTTTTGTCTCACTTGGTAACATGAACTGTTTGGAGCTGCAGAAACTTACATAAACATCATGACTGAGTGGGATGCAGTGAGACCTGCTGTGATCCCCTCAGCAGAAAGTAGAGTGCGCCCTCTGCAGTACACTTGTGTATAGCACCTTTATGCTTGTGCCAATTTTTTTGTTTTTATTTTGGACCTCTGGATGAAAATAATTTGCTGCTGCCGTGGCCAAATCTCTTCAGGTCTCAACTAGGCATGGGCCGGAGTGAGATTCACACGATGTGATAGAGATGACTGAAAATATCACCACTTCTTTTTAACAAAACAAAAATACAGTTGTTTTCAAAATAATAGCAATGTGTCTTAGGAAGTGTCTGTTTTCATAAATTAATCTGCAGGGTTTTTTTAAGCAGTTACTCTAAGAACAGAAAATACTTGAAGATTTAGCTTTCCAATGAGCTCCTGAGCTAATATTTAGCTACGAGTTGATCAACCTCACACCTGTGAACAAGATGATTGACTACATCACATGATTCGTTTAAATTTAAAGTTGCATTATGTAACTTTTATAAAAAATGTTACAACTTTCACCGTGTTTGGACAGTATAATATTAGATGGATAATCTGTGAAAAGATCAATTTCCTCCACCAAAAACAACCAATTAAAGGGAGGAGGGTCTTAGCGCTGTCAATCAACCCAAAGTACTCATTGTTCAATGTGCAGAAACAGCCTGTTGTTACTGTAAAATTGTTCATCCATGTCATCAGTGGCTATGTTAACTAGCCTAGCATTCACAACATGCTATGCTAGCTGAAATGTAGCATGTTGGGTGAACGACAGCACCAAGACACGTCTCCTCATTCTGATTGGTTGGTTTTATGTAGCACTGGGAAATGCTACATAAAACTTGTTTTTTCACAGATTATCTGTTACAACATGTTGACACAATCAACATAAAGTAAATATATATATATATATATATATATACATATATATATATATATATATATGTATATATATATATATATATATATATATATATATATATATATATATATATATATATATATTCTACTAAAAGTTAGGTACTGCAGCCTTAAGGTTTTAGGAACTGAGCTTCTCTCATGTTAGCCTTCCAGACCTGAAACCAAGATGGAGGTCGTTTGTTTTCTTTGACGTTTTCCTGTCTTACAAAAGTTCCTATTTTTATAGATTTTACTCTTCAGCAACACAACCTAAGTCATTTAAGTATTCAGACAGATCCAGGATCTCTTGTAATATTTCTGTAAACAAACTAATTTATTTTCCTGTAGCTTGTCATTTTCTCAACAGTTGTTTTTTGCTGATAATTTTGGCATTAAGAAGCTCTCCTCTAAGTGTTCAAGTACTTAAAACAAACTGTACCTAATTTTTTTATTTGCTTTTTTTGTGGGCGATTTCTTGATTCAGTCAAATAATAATTCTTCCTTTTCTTCCTCATCTCCTTGGTTTTTGTTTCTATTTTAAAGCAACAACTTTTACTGTAAATCAGACTCACCTGTCCACAACGCCGCTGTTTTAAATAAAAACCCTTTTAATTAATAATTCAGCTGCACAGAACCTGCAGCATCACTGTTGCTACTCAACATTTGTAAATTATTTTCTGTGTAGAAATGGAAGTTCCACTAAAACCGGTGCTTTAATCTGGTTGTTGAGGTTGCACTGCTATTATTTTGAAGACAGCTGTATATAACATAACAATAATATAATCATATAATTACTACAAATGTAATTCCTAAAAAATTAAACGCACAAAAAAATGAAAGTAAACAAAACAAGAATGATCAGAATCAATATTTTATTTTATTTTTTGAACAAAAAATATCTGGTTAATTAAGTGTGGTATTTACTCTTAATTGGATTTTTCTCTAAAAATAATTTTTAAAAAAATTCTACATTAATGGGAGGTGCAGAAAGCTGCATTTGTTTTTATTATTGTAAACAAAAGAGAGTAGTTAACCCTTTTCAGCCAGCTGACCTGCAGTGCTCAGAAGTAAGTGGTAGTCTTCTGTTATGTGCTTCAGAGAGCTGGAGAACGCACTAGTCACTCCCAAATGTTTCTGCATACTGATGGTCAGCAAGAGGTGAGGGAGGGGCAGTGATGCATTACATTTCTCTCTGACATCAAGGATGTTTTGAGATTTTATTTAGCTATTTTTAAAGGGGCAGTATTATGTAAAAAAAAGACTTTGAGCTTTACGTCATGTTATGTGTTTCTCAAATAAAATCATGCCTGGAGTTTTGCTTTGATTGGATGTTTAATCTCCATGGCAACAAATCAGCTGTGCAAAACATCTGGGTGGACCACCCCTGCCTTTGAGGCGCAGCTCCTCTCCCCACTCAGCTCCTTCAGACTAGTCAGCAGCAATTAGCACACACCCGGGGTAACTTCATCTTCTGAGCTCATCATATGAGCTATTTTGGTGACAAAACGTAACCGATAGAGGAGCCATATTGTGATGACTTCCTGAAGGCGGCTTGTCAGAAAGAGTAGGAGTTTTTAAAGAGACAGAGGCCCAATTTTAAGGCCCCACATTTCATCCAAGTCATGTTTGACATACAGCTCTGGAAAAAATTGACAGACAGCTTCAAAATGATCAGTTTCTCTGCTTTTACTTTTTATAGGCAAATGTTTGAGTCTTTTATCCTATGAACTACTGACATGTCTACAAAATGATGCAGAAAATTATGATAAACATGCAATGGCTTCAGACTTCAAATAATGCAAAGAAAACAAATTCATATTCATTTAGAAACAACAGTATTAAGGTTTTAACTCAGGAAGAGTTCAGAAATCAATATTTGGTGGAATAGCCAATGGGGTTCAGTGCAGTGGGCTCTTCATTTTAATCAGAGCTGTAGATGTAGTGTTTTTATAAGAACTGGAGGTAACATAGTTACATAACTGTGCTATAAAATGGCGCCATGTGCCTGGAAAACACATAATGCTGTCCCTTTAAGGTTTGTGCATGATGCCCATGCCTTGTCTCAGACTGACCCACTGGATGACAAAATGTGTTTTTGTTGGATGTGATGTAAAGGCTAGAAGGTAGTCTAAAAAAAAATCTAAATCTGCCTCATTAAAACAAACAAACAAAAAAAAAACTGAAGACGCTCAAGAGTTTGCATCTAATTGATAAGGAATTTAGACCCTGGATGTAGTGAAGGACTAACACCTTTGTATTCTCAGCTGTTTTAGATTTCAGTGGGGATGCGTTGATTGCAGCTTTATTTCCTCTCCTGTGTTTCATCAGGCAGAAGCTGCAGCTGACCTGCATGTCTTCAGTCTTACTTTTACAAAAAAACTAATAAACAAACATCTTTCATGCAGTATTAACTGTTTATAATTTATCAAAATTATCTAGATCAAATTTCCAGGATCGCTATAGATTCTGCATTGCTCTCACTAATTATTAAAACAATACAACAGTGTAATAAGCATTTTTATTACTACCTCAGTCAGTGCACTGTTTCATAAAATGCTTCTCTTTTTTTTTTTTTTTGTAATGTACTTGTTTCGTCATCTGGTTGCAGTTTGTTCTTGATTATTTCCAGAATATTTCAAGACGGTCTTTACGTTTCCAGATTTAATATCTGATTGTTAAGCTGAAGTCTTAACGATCAGGAACATTATTATGTATGTTTTTAGAGGGCCTTCATCTTTGAAAAGCTCCTCAATAAAATTGAGAGGAATCCAAATGTGCCTGGTCTGTCGGTCTTTGTCTTCTGCAACTCAACAAAAAACTTTTTTTTTATCCACATCTTGAGTTTTGATTTCAGTTTTCAACTTAAATGTATTTTTAAACGTTCATTGGCTGCATGGAAATGAAAGTTTAGAATTTTGGGGAGTTTTCCTCTTGAATTATTTGTGTAGCAAATTAAATTCAGCTTTTATCTTTATGAACAATCAATCAAGACATTTAGCCATTAATTAGAATAATTAATTTCATTTTTATATTTACAACCAACATGTTATGGGACAAAAATTATATTCTTATTTAAAAATTGTGTTCAGGAACAATAACTGGCTTTTTGTTACTCTCCAACTTTGGCTATTGAGCAAAAAAAAACTGAGTGCAGAAAAGTTTAATCTTCCAGATTTTTATTCCTTTCTAAAAAAAAAAAGTGATTCTTTTTTTGATTTCCATATTTATACTTTTCTATTTTTAAATTACTTCATTCATCCCACCATGTTTTGTGCCAAAGTTATAGATCAATTTGGATTTAAAAAGAAAATGTATTTTTCAATTTTCTTTTTGGTGTAAAGTTTTTTTTTAATGTATTAAATTTATCCATAATGTGCAACTATCTGATTTTTTAAAAAATAAATAGCTTAAAGAGTGAAAAGACCAGCGTATAAATAAAACGTTCCCTTATGTATTTAAAAAACATAAATAACAAATGACCCGTTTTAGACCAATGTGTTTTAAAATTGAGTCTGGAAAATGGTAAAAATGAAAGAAAACGGAATTAAAATAAATTGTTGAACTTGTATCTATAGCAGAACAATTTGGGTCTAAAAAAAACAGCAAATCTGGCAAAAGTAAGCAGAGCTGGTTTTACTTTCCCATAAATTAAAAAAATTATCCAGTCCAATAGTACTTTTTGTATTTGCACAGGTATCTGAAAATATTTAAGTAGAAATATATAGGAACTCTGGATTCTAAGAAAAACAAAATCATATTCTATCTTAATTTCACTTTTAGTTTTAAAGAACAATGCGTTGCCGCACCAATAGGGGGCGCTGCTGTGCAAGTTGTGGATTCCACCTTAGAAAATTTCAGCCGTTAAATATTGAAATTGAAACATTTCTACAGTATTTAAACTTCTTTTTAATATGAATTAAAAGAATCTTAATTATAAACATCTGTATGAAAACAAAAACATTCACATAGTACATTAAAATATTACAGTACAGCTTACAAAGGTTAGGAAATATATTAAGATGAAATCAACATGTCCTAAATAATGAAAGAGTTTCAAGAACAGATCATAATCTGTACAAGGAGTGTGCAAAAGTACTATCCCATTTATGGGCTTTTATATACTGGCAATGAGAAGAGTCTGTCGTTTCCTCCAGCTCCTGAAGAACCTTGTGCCTCGGTCAGTAACCGACTGTGCAAAAATATACAGACGAGTCCTTGAACGCCCTTCAGTAATGGCTGAGCTCCTCTGGCGGGCGGGAGAAGTTGTAGCTGTCCTCGCTGCCAATGTAGGCGCTGATGCCGCTGTTCTGGCTTCCCCACTCGTAGTTGTCCGCAGCCAGGCTAGAGGGTGTGAAAGACAACATCCGTCAACATCGATCGTCCCTGCAGAACTTCCTGAACAGCAGGAAATGAGAGGATTGTACCTGGCCTGAATGTTCTGAGGCATGACGCTCCATGCCAGGTTGTCGTCGCTGTCGTAGCGTCTCGGGTTGTCGAAGAAGTAAGCTCTGGACGAGAAGACATGGCCAGGGAGGCCGGAGCTGCTCTGCAGGAGACAAAGACAAGATGGCGGTAACTAACCACAGTTTACTAATATGTAAATAAACATAAACTTTTATTCACTACTCAATAACTTATATTTATTTAGCATTAACGCTGCTTCATTGCTTTAGATTTTAGAAGTCGATGAGTTCTGTAACAATTTTTCGTCACAGTTACATCTTTTGATTATAAGAAATATGTAATATTTTCTTATGTGTATTATCACATTAGATTTTAATCCCATGGTTCTTATGGGTCTTTTTGTAGCAGAGTCTCCACTGTTGAACAGGTCCTATCAGAAATATTTTAATTTTTTGCCCCAGGAGCAAAGAAAAACACGGTATTATGAAAAATCAGAACAAACTCTCACATATTTAACCTTTTTTTTAACCCCTTGTGACGGTTCATGACCTTCTAGTTAGTGATTAATTGGCTAAACTGAAGATTTATCGGTTAATCGGATAAATTTTTAAAAAGGCATTCTGCAGATTTATCATTCAAGCCTGTTTTTTAAAACATAAAAAAAATTATTTAAACAAATTATTTTATAAATAAGGCAATAATATAATTGGCTAAAATTCAATAACATTAGCATTAATTTAGTGTACGCTTGATTTATTCGTACTAAAAAAAACTAGCTAAAGAAATACTGCAAACATGTTTAGCATCAATACAGTTTAGGGCTGATATATGTTTGGATTAACAGAGAAATAATTGAACAAAAAGGAGATTTTTTTTCTTCAGAATATGCCCAGTAATATAATCTATAAAATACTCTTAATTTTAAATGCAAAATGTACTTAGTTTTTGTACAGTTTTGGCTTATTTACTGTCCTGACAAATGCCATTTTCTCAGTCCTTACACCGCAATTAACCATTACACAATTACTAAATTAGTCTGCAATTATTTCAATAATTGATTAATTAATAGTTTCAACACTCAGCCGTGTTGTGGAGGCCTCACCCTGTCCAAGTTGGGTTTCCGAACCCTAAAGAAATACACAACAAGGGAAGTCGGTAGCAGCTCCCAAACAAACAGAATCACTCCGAAGACGACGTAGCCAGTGTCGCCCAGAGTCGACTGTAGATCTGCCTGAATAAAAAACAAAAGAAAGACGTTACAAACAGCAAAATAAATCCATCCATCAAAAACTTATCTACGACGACGCATTAGGTCCTTTTAGATACATTTTTCTAGAAAAATCATGGAAATTTCTGACTTGAAAATTCAAATTAACTTGCGGAAAAAAATATCTTCTTTTTGATAAATCAGAAATCTGGGGGAAAAGATGATGGAAAATTCGGAGTTAAAAGTCACAAATTTTCTCAAAAAGAAAAAAAAATTCGGAGATTTTTGGATGAAATTTACTCTTTTTCTCCATCTCCAATACACTGCTGTACTCGTTCAGTATTTTTCCTCAATGACTTGTGGGTAATTTTTAGCTTTTATGCAATGTGGGGATTTTAGGTGATTCGTTTGGTTTATATTTGTTTTCTTTTTAACTTTCAATATTAAGCAGGGTTTTTTTTTTTACGGGGAAATAATAAGAATGACTAATTACTTCCTGCCGTTTCTAAATAATCTTTCTTTTTATTTAGAAACGCTTGTAATCCTCCATAAAAACACAATCTTTTCTATTTTTTAAATGTTTAATCTTCTATCTTTATTGTTTAAGATTTGTATGAGACCCCAAAATATCTAGTTATTCAAAGTAAACAAAAGAGAAAAATTGTTTGTGCCAACATCCTGAACTTTTACTTTGAAATCCTCCCGGCAAGGTGATTTACCTGGTCCGACACGTTGTACCAGTCGTAGTCAAACGAGTTGATGCTTTTGTTCGACAACGCCAGGACAACCAGGTTGTAACAGGCCCTGGACGTGTACAACAGGATGACAATGGCTCCTATAACCGTCACCTGGCACACCGACGTCCCCTGCACAAAGTCAGAGCAGCAGCCCGGAGTTTAAGACGAAGTAAAAACAAAACAACTCAAGCTGAACAGCAAGCTGAAAAATATTAAGATTTCTGCACATTTTGTCACATCACAATCACAAACTTCAGACTATTTTTATTGGATTTTATGTGACAGTTAAACACATGGTGGTGCATATTTCTGAAATGGAAGTAAAATTATGGTGAATTTAAAAAAGTAATCAATAATCAGCAGAATAAACTTTTTTCTTTACCAGTTTTGTGCGTCTCAAGGCTGAAATATTTGGATTATTCTTTGTAAAATACATCAAACTCTGTGTACAGCGGTTTTATGTCTTTCAATTCTAAACGAGAATTAGCTATGAACTTTGACTAGGCCGTTGTAACAAATGAATATGGTTTGATCTAAACCAGGGATGTCCAAGTCATCTGAAGACACTATTGTGCGCTCCGTCCAGACGGGAATGTCTTATCCAAAATGAGTTTCCCACATTCACACACCAACATTTTAAAGTTTAACTTTTTTTTTGTTAGTTGTGACAGATTTGAGATTAAAAATTTGTTGGGTTTTTTTATTTTCATGTGGACAATGAAAACAACATTTTGTGAAAATGCTGAGGCCCCAATTTATACAGAATTTATACAGAGATCAAATAAAATGCAAGCTGACTTCATATAATATTTCATCTCATTTGTTATTTTAATCCCAATTTACCTTCTACATTATTCTGTCGCATGAAATCCATCACAATTCACATCTGTAACCAACTGGCGTGAAAAAGTTCACACGTTGAATGATTTTTTTAAGGTCTCAAAGCCAACCAAGAACAAAAGCAGATAATTTGTTCTTTCTGATTCCTGGTTCAGTCTCACCTTAGACTCCAGGTAGATGTTCGCCAGGGACATCTTGGCGATCTTGTAAAGACACAAAGAGAGCGAGACGGCGCACAGGACAAAGAGCGTGTCGTTGATGGCGACTCTCACGAGCACAATGGTGTGAGCTTCTGCAGAGGACATCCTCACCAGCAGGGCGCACGCTAAGTTCACGACTAAAAACACCAGGCTGATGAACAGGAACAGGAGGTAGAGGGGCAGCCTGACAGGAAAAGACCACAAACATTTTTATTATTCAGCTGCTAAAAATTGCAGCAGGGAAAATGAGCGGAAAAGGCCTGCTCTCACCTGTACCTCTGGAGCTCTGGGGCGTATTTGGACTTTGCCTTAAAAACAACCTATAAAAAAAAAAAAAAAAACATTTAATTATGCAAATATGTCAGGCCGTTTCACTTCTCCATTCTGGTTAACCAGGAACCTCGTGGTTGAAAATGGTTGCATTTTATGTTTGTGGTGCACAATAGTTACTCAGCCCAGGACTCACTGGAAACTTAAATGTGCTCGTATCAACACGGGAGGATTACACTAAAAATAAGCTTGAGGCAGAGGCTGGAGAAGGCAGCGGTTCGTATGTGGATTGCGTAAGCAGTTGAAGACATGATTCATTTCATTTCGGTGCAGATTCTGAATGCGAGCCTCCCACACTGAAGGCAGTAATAAGTGGGCTCCTTCCTCTCAAGTCACATGAATGATGGAGGGTGCCAAACAGGTTTCGCACCATTTGTCTATGTGAGGGTTATTTGCTCTCAGTGTCGATGCTTTATACGCGTCCACATCCTGAGCGAAGTGAAACTGTAGAGCAACTGTACTTTCACATGCATCTTTTGTGATGCAGGTGTAAAATGTATTTCCTCTTTGCAGATTTGTTTATTCTTCTGCTTTGTTTTTTCACTAATTTTAAAGATAATCCAAGAAAACGCCTTTATTTGTTAAATCATACAAAAGTCTTAGTAATCCCAGATGAGTCATGAATTTGCTTTCACTACATATTTTTGGATAACGGAGTTTGATCACTACAAAAACACAAAACCTCACCAAGGATTTAAGTTCAGTTTCTGGTGCACATATATTGAAATATTTGAAACGTTTTAACAGGATGTAACATCTTATTTTTAGTAAATATTTTCTTAATATTGATGACAATTAATTATTTCAATTAGCAAATTATTCCACTTATAATCTGCAAGAGGAGATTGTTCAGTTTTATCAATATCAAATGAATTATTTATTTAAAACAAGCTACTATTAGTGAATATATTTAAGTTAAATTGGTCACAAAGGAGTCAATCTAAGTTTGTTAAGATGAACCAACATAAATAAAGTAAGATTGACATTTTAGAGCGTTCTAATTCTCAATGGGTGCATTTTTAATTTTTGGATTTATAATATTAAAAATTCAACCATTTATGTGACGGTTTCTGTAGATATGATGACCTAAGCAGCTGTTTGGGTCGCTCATGCCTTAGGCCGGCTCTTAATCGTTTTTCTACCCGAAAATGATGAAAGTTATAATTTCCCCAGCATGTTTGTACTGATGTTTTTTCAAAGTGGTTTGTATATAAAGGCTGTTTTCTCCTCACAGTCTCAACACAATGCAGTTTCTCTCTTTATGACCGTTTGTTTTCACTTTTTCACTCTGTAGTTGGAAGCAGTGATAGAGATCCTACATGCTGATCTGCAGATGCATGCATTGTGGAGCTAACCGGAGTTAGCTTCGTCTGCCTGGTGATGCAGCAGTTCTGCAGGCAACATCGCTGGGATCGCCATCTTAATGAAACGACTCAACCCCACCAACTTGTACCAACATCATCACTGAAGACCTTTTAATAATTACATTTAGGCATTTTAGTGTAGCTTCATCTCTGCAGTATCATCACATGCAACTCAAATGTTTTTCTGCAGCAGAACATAATGCTAATAAACACCCACAAAGGAGGAATTAGATTAAAAGGATGCAGAGAGACAGAAAAACCACAGAAGAAACATAAAGTAATTAACTGCTTGCCTTCTGTGATGTCATCAGAAAGATGTATGAGTGGAAATATTTTTGTTTTTTTTTAAAGATTTTATCCTAGTTAAATAACAAATTATTTTTAAAAAGTATAAAAACCAACTATGGCATCTTGTTCTACATCTAAACTGAGTTTAAGAAATTTTATTGAAATGTTTGGCTTGTGTCTTTAATATATGAGTAATTTAAACATTGTCAGGAGACTTGAATGACCTATGTTACACAGCTAAATCAGCTATATTGCTCAAGGTGCAAAATGTCATTTCAGCTTCTAGTTCACACCAAGACAAAGATTCCCTGAAGCTACGACATGAAAAGACTTGTACTGAATGTCTTTAAATGTCAAGTTTCCCCATCTAAACAAAAGGAGTTCCTATCAACACCTGCAGACTATATTTCTTTGGTTTTGTTAGAGAGGATCTGGGATCAGGTTTCTGTTACTTCACATCTGCAGAGCTTCTGGACTCGACCTATTGTAACCCCTTAAACTACAAACTTCAATGATTGTTATTGATGTGATGGGTCAAAACAAAGTAGCACATGACATGGAAGCAAAACGATGCATAGCTTTCACAACGTTTGACAAGTTAAATATGAAAATGTGGCATGCTTTTGTCTGCAGCCCTCTTTACTTTGACAGTCCGGATCAAAATCCACCTGCCAAGGTGAGGAAAGCAGAGGCGTCACTAAGCAGTTCATCGCATTTTAAATTAAAACGAGCTCAATAATTTCCATGTTGTTGCTTTTTTAAACAGACTTCATAATTAATTTTTTTATTGTTTCTGGTGGGTTGGATATTTAAAATGTCTTCCAGTTATATTGCGGAGTGTTTATTGGTCTTTGATGGTAGAAACTCACATTATTATTATTTATCGCAAAAAATGTCTGGGACAATTTATCATCCGGTAACATTTATTATTTCGATAGGTCTGAATGTAACTCTGGAGGAGCTGCAGAGATCCGTATTTATAGCAGAACATCACATAAGAAGTTTGTAATCTGTGCAATGAAGAAGAAACGGCAAACATGAAGGTACTCTGGTCAGATGAAAGTACAACCTGAAAAAACCACTGTAGAACAGCATTATACATGTTCACAGTATAATGCTGTGAACACAAGCTGGTTAGAGATGACAGAAGTAAGTTTGGGCAGTAAAGACTAAAGAGTTTTATCACAATACTTTGTGGTGCTATTATGATAGAAATAAAAGTGACAACAAAACTATTACTTCTTTTTTTAGGTAACTGCAGCTATGACCGCATGACGTAGCAATCATAGCCTCATAAACACAAATACTGCTCAAGAAAAACACATTTATATCTAATGAGCTTCTTTAGGACGCCAGTCACATTTATATCACTAAACAAATAATAAATGTAACATTTAATATAACACATATATTAAAACATAACAAATTTGTTCAATTGGAATATATATTAGATCAAAATATAATAAATTAATTCACAATTAATACTAAATGTTTTAATATTTTCAAATTTACTGGCATTTATTGATACTCTTATGAAACAAACATTGGAGACACTGGTAAAAACGAGAATCCTGATAATACAGATAGTTGTGGAGTGCAATTTGTCACAACATGACAAAATTTTCATTTTTATGATACAAAATGTATCGTGATGAATGATGAAAGATAAACGCCCACCCTCTCACGAGAAGATGGATGGAGATGGAAGAAAAGGGGCCATGAAAGACCAAACATCTCGAGTTTTGGGGTCAGTTTTCTGGGGTTGTGGATATTTATGAAGACTCTACATCACGGCTCAAGCACGCATCCCACCTACATGTCCTGCAGAGGCAATAATCGGGTCTGATCCCGCTTACTCACCTGTGCAAAGTAAAGGTTCATGAGGCTGAGCGTGAAGAACTGCAGGCAGACGGGGAAGCAGTAGAGCAGCCAGAAGGGAAAGGGACCCAGAGTGTTGGCCGTGACAAAGTTCCTGAAGTAGAAGGAGAAGAGCACGGTGCGCAGGGCCGACCACAGCAGGCACAGGAACAGGAACACAGTCTGGTAGCTGAAGCGCTTGTGTCGGTACCGCAGAACCAGCCAGAGCTGCACGTAGATAAAAATGAAGAGGAGCGAGTAGAAGACGGTGTAGACCACCGTCAGACCCAGAGTCACAAAGGGGGGCACGGCCGGGCTCAGGGTGGGCAGAGGCAGGGGTTCCTTCTCCTCCGCCGGGGCCTCCATGATCAGCTCTCCCTGGCTTTCTGGAGGGGAGATGGAGCTGTTCGCAGCAGAGCCCTGCCTCTCAGGCTCCCAGGCCCGGGGCCGAAGCGAGGCGAGACGCGGCGAGGAGGCGCAGTCAAAGCACGGAGAACCAGGAAGACGGCAGGGCGGCTGTCACCAACTCAGCGGGGAAGGAAACCGGTCCAACTTCCTGCAGAGGATCCAGAGGCAGCCGGAGAGACGGAGGCACATGACCAAAGATGATGAGCAGGACTGCGGCGGGTTTCCAGGACCAGTCCCAACCCCCTCCTCAGCCAGGGAGGGCAGTGCGTGACGTTACGCACCAGCTGACGCATGCTACTGTACCTTTAACCCTGTGATGGCGCTTCCCACCGCAGCTCTGATCCCGGAGGGCAGATCAGGGCTCCTTTATGTATTCAATCTCGTTTTACCACCCTGCATGAAAACCAGACTGATTCATTCAGTATATGTGTTAAATAAAACAAATATATGGGCAACAGCAAGGCTTTACACTAAAAACAAAAAAAATTAAACAACAAAATTCACGTATTCTATATTTATGTGGGTGGGTATAGTCCTAAATGCAAATTTTTTGCAAGTTTAACAGCTAATAATGCATTTCCTAAACAAAATAGTTCTAACTATTTTTAGTTAGCGTCCGCAGCCCATTAGCTCTGCAGATAGTCTGGACTTTCTCCCATTGACTTTGATTCACTCCGGCAGATTTTTCCAGCTGACCAATCAGTGACCAGAAGGAGAAGCGAACGATAGGTTGTTTTCTGCTGTTTTAGCAATGACAGCAGAGGGAGGGAGTGAACCAATCCACTTCCAAATATTGGATTAACATTAGTAGCCATATTGTTTGGCTGTGTATTTCTCTCTTGACAGTGAAGGATGGTTGTTTACAATGCAGGCAAGTTTCCATAATTTTGAGATGCAGAGAGGTATTTAAATGTGCCACATTAATTTAATTATTTGAAACAAGTTTGATATATTTCATTTCATGCCAACAGCAGGATAAGCTTAAATTATTTACAGATATGTATGCTAACCATAACCATTAAAATGTGGTGTAAATACTGATGCTGTATATTTTGATTTTTTATATTTTCTTATTTTGTTTTCATTATATTTGGTCTTTTTTCTGTCAGTGTACTGCTGCTGGAAACTGAATATCCTAGAGGAACCTTCCCATAAAGTTTAATCTAAGACTTATTTATTTTTATTTTCATTCATCACAATGTCCACATCACTGTCAGGCATCAGTGATAGATTTATCAGGTTTTGATCCACCACTGGGTGAATTATGATCGATTGTAGTGTAAAATGATTCAAAGTCCTCAGACTTGATAAACAATTGGTTTTCCCAATTATCTAGTAATATGAAGCGACAGCAACATGAAGAAGAAACACGAGAAGTTTGAAAAATCCACACAGTGGGGGAAGTGACAACAGCAGATTCCAAGAACGAGCGCTCTGACCTTTTTCCAGAATGTTGCAGTCCTAAGAACAGCTAAGATACGTATGTTTGCCTTGATCAGGTGCTGTTTGCTTGATAAGTGTGTGAAGGAAAGTGGTGAAAATTTAAGAAAAATAAATTTCCTAATACAATAATATCACCAAATGTGCAAACAATCCAACAAATATGCGGTGCCATTTATAAAGTTACACAGTAGAAAAATTAACAGCAATAACTAGACCTATTTAGCCTGAAATACACAAGAAATGTGGGTGTTCAAATGTGAATCTAAAATATTTACATCAGGTCAAGAGTTTCTTATTCCATAAGAAAGGACAATAACAAATGTTAATTAACAAATTGCGATGGATTTTACTAGAAGTGCGACTTCAAATAAAATTCAACTTATAAAATTTGTGTCAAAGTTAAAATGTTTAAGGTCACTATTTTTCTTCAACTCTGTCCAAGATTGCGTCATATTTGTTTTCCAGTGAAAATAGGAAGTGTGATGTTATCAGAATTGTTTTTCTTTTCAGTCCCTCAGGGAACTGAAAGAACATTTTGGGTCACATTGACTGATTTCTATGTGCAACTTTGATGGGTTTCCCCTTTCATTCCGGCAACCAAACGTCACAGGGACAGACTTTGGTTTTTGACCCAAAGAAGAAGCAGCTTATCTCATGTGTGCACAACCCCCAGTCAGGTTGGTTTTTGTTTTGCTTTTGAGCAGCACGGTCTTTGTGCTACATGACCGGACATGTGAACACGAGGAAATCTACAGATGGAGTTCACTCCAGCTCACCTTTAACTTTCCTAATGCATTAATTTGCCACAGAGGCCCCACCAAACAGGATGCTGTCAGCTACGGTGCAAACCTCATTTAGAAATGAATGCACACACTTTTTGGTTTTTATTGTGTTTTCCACAGTCAGACTCTGGCCCTTTAAATTATCCACATTGTCGCTTCTGTAAAAAATAATCCAGTTTCCATTTAAGGGCAAATCAGACAACAGGCTACTGGTTCCCAGGCAACACAGTGACGATCACTGATGACATCACCATATATATTTTAACACATAAATGTTATGAATGTTACCAGTTTTAGCTGCTAAAGGTGTGTTGTTGCTCTTTATTCTTGGCAGCACTGGTAGATACTACTCAGCTTTCACCATTTAAAAAAAAGAGTGAGATGCATAAGTTTGAAAATATTGTTTCTGCTCCACAAAGGCTCAAAATAATAAACTCAGACTGAAATATTCAAATATAGAAAATTTTGTGATAAATTGTTGTTGGCAAGGTGCAGAGAAACTACACTCTGTTGTAAGCCTGCAGATTTAATTTCTCTTCTTGGCAGAATTAATGGGAAAATAAGCAAAGGGAAGAGTTTGAAGATTGACTTATGTATGCTTATTTGTTTTTTTGTTTATTCTGATTTGTTGTCTTTTCATCTGGTTGCTCTGTTTTTGTAAAGGATCTGAAATTATTCTATTTATTTTATTTAAACTAGTAGGGCAGACCTGGTTCTAAATAATGACCTAAACATTTTAAATATAAGTGAGGGTGACATTATTCCAAAATAGTAACAATGGCCATGTTTATCATTATCCTTGACCTATAGTATCTTTTTCATTACACACATTTTTGGAAAATGATCTGATATTTCTATTCCTAACAACTATACAGTTTTTTCTGTTATGATTTTGTACAGTATTTTGTTATTGCTATTAATATCGTCTTTATATATCTGACACTGGGAACTTTTTGTGTGGAATTTTATACCTGTTACTCTTGTTACACCTAAATGCCAATTTTTCTATTCTATTCTATTCTATTCTATTCTATTCTATTCTATTCTATTCTATTCTATTCTATTCTATTCTATTCTATTTTATACTTCAATATTCAGATGTTAAGGTGAAGACAGGTTAAAGAATTTAGAGGTAGTTTTCATTTAATTAAATATACATAGAAATGTATGGAACTATATTTCTATTTTTGTTTGAGAGAAAATACATGATATAAGGAAGCTTGTGCACTCAATTCTTCTCTTTAAAGTCGTTAAAATTGTTGTTTGAATAAGAAATACTTGTTTAAAGGTGTCATTAAAAACATATAATTAGTATTATATTTACGACTGCTTTGGAATCCTTGATTTATCGCTTCTGCTGGAGGAAATGGGTCTTTTTGCCCCGACTTGTCACAGACTACCAGAGTTGATTCCCAGTGCGACCAGAAGGTGGCGCCATATGACTGTGCTAAAACAGTAATGCGAGTCAACGTCGCTTTGTGACATTTTACAATTTAATTTATTATAATTTACAGTTATTGAACTTAGCAGAAAATAAAAACGTTCTTTAAGCTGCTTTTTCCAAACTTAAAAAAAAAAACCAACAAAAATAACTAATAAAATTTTTCTTGATTTGGCTTCACTCATTATGAAGCTCCAAATTTACATAATGGAGTCTTACAATTTGCATAGTTTTATCTTTAAAATATCAATCATTTTTTTAAAACAAGAATAAAGCTGCTATCCAATCTGTGGCGTGTTATTTTAAAATAATCAACCTCAGATAACTGGACTAATCATACAAGACAATTCCAGCTAAATTAAAGCTTAATTATCACTAATTAGTGACTTGTTCTAGTGAAGCAGAAGTTGGTATTTTTCAAGTAGAAAAAAAACATCTTAATTTGCCTAGTAAAGCTTCCATTCATTTTAAAATGAGACATTTAAATTGCATTTTTGAACCACTTTTTTGCATTGAAAAAAGAAAAGAAAAAAAAAAAAAGAAACTTCACTGAACGTTAGTGGCCATGATGGTTACCACGGACACCAAATGCCATAACAATAGGCCTAACCGATTCTCAATTAGACGGGCCAAAGTGCTGGATGGATGACTGATCATCTGTTAGTGGGTCAGAGACTCTTCAAGACCGAAACCTGTCCTCATTATCCCAGCTGGGGCTGACTGTGACAGCCGCTGCAGCACAAACCGAGTCATTACTGGATACCACTTTGCTTTATGTTGCTGCTGTTTACATAACATTTCAGCAAACTAAACTAAACTTGGAGCTCTTTGTGTGGTTACTGGTCCATGTTCTGACGATCTGCTGGCCTGAGTCCAGCGTTGTCCCTCTGGAGACGACCCACTCTGTGGCCCCTGGCTGTATAATAACAGTATCATCATCCAAATAAACCGACTGCCAGAGTTATGACAACACTGCATGGAAGGTTTAAGATTTCCTTTAAATGACAGGATGAGAAGATGAACTCTTCCCCTCTCAGGTTTTTATCATCAACAAAGAATTCCAAGTAGTTAAACTGAATGCCAAAGCACATAAAAAACCAGGAAACCATACATCTGTGCACAGAGTAACATATTTTGAGTGTTTACTTTTGTGATTTTTGACTATTCTGGCATTCAGTGGATGAAAATCCAAGCTAGAATATTAAATAAGATCAATAAAAAATGTTTTTTTTACTACACAGCTTCTGCAATTAACGCTTGGTTGGGACTTTGTTTGAAGAATCACTGAACCTTTAAACAACTTGTGATAACCCAGTGATGTTACAGATTTGTAAGGTTTTTAAAATAATGAACTAAGTCATTTTTTGCCAGAAGGATTTATTATTATCATTATTTTTTATTTTTTTTGCCTGAAACATCTTTTGGAAAGAAAGAGGTTGTGATTTTTTACCAAAATCATTTTGGCATCATGGAAAAAAATGAAAAAGAAAAAAGTCAGGTAAAATCTTAAAACTTGTTTATTATTTTGTATCTTTTCCAAATGCTAAGAATAAGATGTTCAACAATTAAATAAAAATATAAACACC